TAGATAGATCGATCGATCGATCGATGGATGGATGGATGGATGGATGGATGGATGGATGGATAGATAGATAGATAGATGTGTGCGTGTATGTAATGAAGTATATTGTGAGTGAAATATAGTGCTGTATAGTATCTACAGGATAGCAGCCTGCACGTGTTTGTGCAAGACCAGGCTCCCTGGACAGGCTGCTGGAACGTTCCTCGCTCAGCTCAGACTTGCCAACGAGATCCTCGATTCGGGTAGTTCTCTAAATTAGGGTCCCCTTTAGGGTCCTTTTTATAAGGGTGCCGTACTACATTGGGGGACCAAAAAAGAGCCATAATTTAGAGAACTGCCCAGTGTATGTTACGGACATATGGAATCGGGAGTTTTTCCTCCTGACTGGCTCTTGCACTGAGGTGGTTCCAAGGCCAAAACTATTCCGATGCGATGTGCCTGGGCTAGCACGAAGCCTCCGTTCTGTACTTTATCATTGTAGCAATGAGGGGCCTGTGTCAAATGAATCTCTTGTCACAACTGCCAGGTGGTACGCTTCGCAAGGAGGATATGCGGATGCGAGTATGCTGCCAGGCTGCACCCAAATTCCATGTGCCAAGACATGACTGGAATGCTCGAGCACGCTCAGGTTCTCTGCCCTTGCTGCCAAGCTTCAAGTGTGAATTGCTCAGTCCACCGTCACAGCTCGATTCGGGGTGAGCGGTGAAGCCGTGGTGCGACCGGCTTCATGTTGTTGTGTCAGTTTCATGGGCTGGCCGAGAGGAAGATGAGGATCATGCTGTCCTGAACACATGGCAAAGGCACCACAGCAAATAGGAGAGTTGAAAGAAGAGGCAGGACCCGAAACCCAGAAAGTCAGCATTGACCCACTGAGGCCCCAGAATGCAGATCAACTCTGGCTGCAGCCCATGATGGCCCAGCAGGCATCCGGGCAGGATAGGGCCAGAGCAGCAAGACCAAGGACTGGACTACCAATATTCAGAGCAGTAATAGTCGCAGTCATGTGTTCTGTGAGGGAATCGGGGGACGCTCTTGGCTAAGCACATTTGTAACTGCACGCTTCATGCTTGCGCAGCATCGCATGTCGTATCTGAAGGTGGCAGCTTCCGCAGCAGCAACTGCACCACAAGCGTGGGGAGCTTCGGTGCATCAACATGTCTCCGACGAGCTTAGTTCAGAAGCGGGGAGTAGACTTCATCCGCATGAGGGCGAGGGATCATGTCGCATGCCGACCATCGATTTGGCACACCGCTAGATGATCAAGGGTTCATTCTGTTGCTTCTGGTGCGTTTGGGCTCCGGCAGGGCTTGTGCTCGTCATACTCATAGGAGAGACATTCAACTGTCAACGACCTGTCCACGAAAGAATTTGCACACCGATAACCGATGGCAGCTCGACAAAGCCGCTACATCTCAAAGACACGTCCAGTGGAGCCACCATCCGCAAATGAGGCAGGGAATTGAAGTTGATGATGCCGAAGTCGTGTGGCCAGAATCAGCGAGAGAGAAGGTTGTGGAGAAGAATTGGCGATCAGTATTCCGCGTCCACCTGGATGATGTGGAGAAGTTTGGCCTAGAGTACTGCATCTATTTTCAGACCCTGCGAGTATTATGCCTCATGTTCTTGGTGCTTTCGCTGCTGGCCATTCCGGAGCTGCTCTTCTGCTTGCGTGGGAATGTATTTATGCAAGACGTACCTCGGCCCGGACCTTGCAAAAGGGGTTCTTTCTGCGGCGGAACCCTAAACCCTAAGTCCTAAGTGGACCTTGGGGTGATGAATTGCTGTTCTTAGTAAGACCACCGATCGACAGCTTTGGAGACGGCTACGGTAGCCGCGGCGAACTTGATTCGGAAGATTTGGGCCTCAAAACCCCTAAACCCTAAACTGTTAAGCGGGCTCGTCCTAGCTAGGTGGGAGGCAGAAAAGAGCCTAAAAAGTTTCAAGGATCTGCTGAGCCGCCTCGGCCGACTGACGCTTGGCAACGTGTCGCCAGAGACGGTGCTCCACTCAGGAGAGTCGCTGATGCTTCTGACTCAGGGGTTACCCCCATATTAGTCCTGAATCCTTTACAAGGCACCTGAACGGGGGTGATGCCATGACACGTAAAGCCTAAAACCCTATAAACCCCATGAACCCCATAAGCCCCTAAACCCTATAAGCCTATAAAACCCCATAAACCCTAAACCCTATTGTCATGGTACTGTCAGCATGTCATCCGAGAGGACCCTTCAACTTTGGCCTGAGAGGCTGTGGAGATCCTGGTGCTCTGGGCCTCTCATCTACTTCGTAGCTAAATCATAGCATTAAGGCCCCTATAATGTAAGGTATATTCCTTAATTATGGGATATTGGGTTCTCTGGGAGCTGAAATACTAGCAACGACACGTAGTTTGGGTTTAACATGGCCTAAGGCTTATAGGGCTTTTAGGTTTATAGGGTTTATCGGGTTTATAGGGGTTTATAGGGTAGCTGAAATACTACACTTTAAACTTTTTGGGATAATCTGATCCCTTATTGAGCTGAAAGTGTACACTTTTTTGTGCTTATGAACTCAACAACTAAGTCTAGCACCGACACCTAATTAGGGTTTATAAGATTTATAGGGGTTATAGGGTTTAGGGGCTTATAGGGTTTAGGGTTTATAGGCTTATAGGGTTTAGTGTTTAGGGTTTACGTGTCATGGCATCACCGACATCCTTGTGCCATTCCGTAGTGGTAGTAGTTGTGCAGAAGCACCTTATGTGGGAGTTGCAGCAAAATCTGTGAAAGTAAGGGATGATCCACGCAGGCTCTCTAAGTGGTAGGATCCTTATACCGCCGACCTCTAAAGAAAACCCCCCCCCATATACAAGCTTAAAAATTACGAAGCTCCCACCGAATCGTTGTTCGGATCAGGTTTAGGCTTTCTTTTTGCATCGCAGCTTGCGATCGCGCCTCTGGCCCTTGGAATCCTCAGCCTTTGGTCCTGGCCACGCCTAGCCAGCCATCCGGACCTGGCGCTGGAGCGATCAGGGGGTGTGGCACTAGTTTGGGCGTTTCATCTTAAGGGCTATGAATGTGAACTTGTATATATACATAAAAACAATATATATATATATAAACATACATACATACATACATACATACATACATACATACATACATACATACATACACACACACACATATATATATATATTTAAGTGCACACTCATGTGTAAAGACGGAATTTCAGCAGAAAAGATCAAGCAACTCCGTATTATAGGAAACTTATATGTATGTCTGTCTGCCTGTCCGCCTGTTTGCCCTAAACCCTAAAACCCCAAATCCAAAACCAGCCCGACAGGAGCCTTCTGCAGCTGACTATTCACTGCGAGTGGACGGCTTACCCAGCCAAGTAGATCTGGGCGGGCGAACTTTGGAGCCCCGGAACGCACACCCCTAAAGCCGTCACGGTTCCTGGTTTTTTTCGGCATAGGCTTCTTGCTGTGAGTTTTGCCAATTTCGTTCGAAGGAAGCTGAGCTCCTCTCACACTTCGAAACGGTGTTGCTTGGCTGATCGATGGTATACCACAATCGTCGCAGCGTCGTGCGTCGAACCGCCTTTGTAACGTACAGTATGCGTTTGTGCAGTTGGGAGTGCCATCGCACAGTTCAATAGTTCACCGCGAGTCATGGGCTTAGGCATTCTATTGCATCCGTTACGCACGTAGTACATGCGGTCGGGGGCAGTTCCCCGTCTGGGAAGGCAGTAAACATGTTTCCGAACGCTGAGGCTCCGCGAACGCGGTGCTGACGGACTCTGTTGCGACGTAGTCTTGCAGCGCAATTTCCGTGGAGCCTTGCAGGCTGCCTTAGACCTGCAGGCGGGATTTGAAGTGGTCTCTTTGCAAGGCCTATATATCTTGTTTCTCTACAGGCTCCGAGCATCCCGAACTTGAGCCCTAAACCTAAACCCCTTGGGCATGAGTGCATGTGAATTAGGCATGTCGCCGGTAGACCCAGCTGTGCTGTAGAGCCGATAGTACGACGCTTGGTGTGTGCTCTTTCATGTCTGTTCACTTGGTCATTAAGTGCATTTATATCACCATCCGTCCCAAGCCATTGTGATGACTTGTGAAGCATGGAGCAATGTCCCCATGGGTAGTCTACGTACTCTGAAGCCTTTCTTGTGGAGAGTGGGGTAATACGTCCCACTGTGTAGCAACGGGAGCTCTGTGACTTAATTGTGGGTGGTTCATGGTTTTAGATTGGTTCTTGGGTCCGCGTGTCACTTCGGAGCTCTCCATGCGTGACGGAATTGTGTGGAGCCTTGCCTGCCTGGTGCGAGTGTGAGAGTCGAAACCCCAACACCCCAAACCCTAAAACCCTGAAGCCGTAAACCCTAAACCCTAAAACCAAATCTGCCACTCTAAACAGTCCATGGTGTCTTCTTGGTGGATTGGTTCTTAGATGTGGGGTTGGTTCCTTTTCCCCTTTGTGGACTGTTGATTCTTGTTTCACGCCGACCTCGTACCATGAACCTCGCCTGGCTTGTCCGAGTTGTGAGAGCGTAAAACCCTAAAGCCCTAAACCCTAAACCCTTGGTAAGGCGGAAAAAGGTGCTCAAAAAAACAAACCCTAAAACCCTAAAGCCCTAAACCCTGAAACCTAACACCCTAACACTCTAACGGCTCGGAGGCCTGGGAGCTGAAAGCCGCCGCCGCCACGCGGCACAGCCCCGGCAGCCGCCGGGCTGCGCGTGCTCTCCAGCACCTCGGTTCTGGGTTTAGAGAACGTAGAGTCTCGGGGTTAGGAAGGGGCTCAGTTTGTAAATTACCAAAATAGAGAGTTTTGAGTAGATGACAGGTTTTCATTAGTTCTTTATTGTGAAGGAACTTCGTTGAAGTTTATATGGATCCCTATCATGGTAACTTCAGTTCCTGGACAAGCCAGGCGCCGCCAGGAGGCCGCTCGGCGGGTTTCCATGCAGCGCCGCGACGAAAGCGAACGGCCGGTTTCGTGGCGGAAGTCAAGACTTGGACAGGGAGCTTTTGGTACAAAACAAGTAGGTAAAGAAACCTCCGGGTGTTTGAGAATTTATCTGTCTAAATCTATCTACCTACCTATCTATCTACCTATCTATCAATCTGTCTTTCTATCTTTCGATCTATCTATCGATCCATCTATCTATCCATCTATCTATCCATCTTTGTTTGTGTACTTCTTCAAAGCAGCTATCCGTCCGTCCAATATCTTCCTCGTCCCAGGATCAAAAGTAGTTCAGCTCGTTGCTTCGGGCCGCGATTTCATTCAGAGCTGCTCAGGTTTGTGGCGCGTTTGTAGTGCTGGGAAGCGAAGAAGAGCGAGACTGGTTGCTGAAACGGTATCGATTGGCTCGGTTCGCCGTCTGCCGGGCTTTGCAGCCACGCCATTTGCGCCTGCAGCAGACGTGGTCTTTGCGATTATCCGCTGCTCCCGAGCCATCAGACATTGCCTGGTCCCTTTTTTCTGACGCAAGGTGCTTGCCGCATGTTTAGCCGCTTCTACGCAATTCACTTGCCGACACGCAGCAGTAGCTGGAGCCCGTCTCTGCCAGAGCTGTTTAGCCCTTAATTTTTAGGCTCGAGAGGTTTAGAGGACGGCGTTTTTGCTGTTCCCATGCCAGATGAGATGGACAGTCCAAATCCTGTTGTGCTAGATCTGCTGAGCCATCCAACCCTGAAGCAGTTAACCCCCTAAGCCCTGAACCCCTAAACCCTTATAAACCCTAAATAAACCTGAACCCGAAACCTTGAAACAAGAGCTGGTCGGAAGGAGCACCGGTTCCAAAAACCCTCAACCCGAAACCCCCGAACCCTTCAACCCACCTAAACCCCTTCTAAGTCTGCAGGNNCAGGCAAGTTGGTTTTTGGAGATGCTGGGGGCAGGGGGTTGCCGCTAAGGGAAGGGATTTTGGCAAGGTTTTTTTCCAAGGGGGGGGGGGTCTGGTGGAAGAGGCCAGCGCTTAAAACATGATTTCAGCCAGGTCCGAGGCCCGCGCGGATGCCTATAATCTCGGCGGGTTTATGAATCAAGAGTTGACATTATGAACTAAGCCTCCGTCTTCATGGCCATCTGGGATCTGATAATGTATATTCCCGGGACGCAAAGGCAATCCTTGCAAAGCAGATGTTCCTCAGATCCTTGGTATCGGGTGCACAACTTACAAGGGCATCGCCTTCTCTCGTGTTTGCGCAAAAAGCTACACCAACGCCGCCTCAATTGCTGCAAGCAAGCAACGGGAGGCTCGACCTGTGAGCCTTGTCTTGACACAAAGACAGCACTTCTAACCACCCATGAAATGGACCGGTCCGTGATATGAACATGCGGGCTGTAGCCACCTCTGCAGCTCTCCAAACAGCATCAGCTCCAGGTCCTTCGGAGCATAAATAAACTATACAAGCCTGTTGCCTGTTCTGCACGTCTTCGTGCAGTAGCTACAGCCATCGATCCAAAAGCCACAGCCTTCTCTGTGCAGCAGTCTTGCAAGCAAGCTGTCTTGAGACTGACGTGTCGGAGGTCTTGGGCATCGACACTAGAGTTTGTGGCTTCGTTATTCTAAGCTTCGACCCGACAAGCGCAGTCCAAGACTTTGCTCCGACCTGACAGGTGCTTGCCCCCCGCCGCGTTGTGGCAATGTGCCGTTCGAGTTTCCACCGTGGCCTTCTTGCTGGTTTTGTTTCTTCTAGGTTGTGGAGGCTGCCTGCTTATTTTTGCGGCTATGCTGGGAGTTCCCGGAGAGTCAGCGATGCAATGCAATATTTGGTCGTCGCAGGATGCCAGCTTTGCTGCTTGGAATTCAGATTGCAGCTGCCTCTGCGCCTGTGATCTGTTAAAATCTCGTTTTCCAGACACGTCGCAGTGCGAACTCCTGGAGGTTGAGTCCTCCATGGCAGTCCTTGCATGTGTCGTCCTGGTGGAGATCCTGCAAGCCATTGCGTGTTGGGGGTTGAGGTGGCTGATGCCATTGTGGCGTGCTGCGTATGCTTCCCAGCTCGAGGCTAGCAAGATGTTCCTCCTGGCTGTTGCGCAGGTGTGTGCACCACTGTCTCCCATATGCGGCCTGCTTGCTCTAAAGTGGCTGTGGTCAGAGCAGGTCCTTCCACTTCAATTGGGTGCATCTGGAGCAATCAGGTTGCGACTGCAGCAAGTGGACATTTCCTTCTACAAGTATGCCATCCCTATCATTTTCGTTTGGTGCTGTCTGCGATGGCTGGCGATAATACCTGAGGCACTTCTTATATGCAGAAGATCACATGCTACCAGCTTTATGCTCTGGAAACAGTATGCTTCCGTTGCATCGGTGGTCGCTGTATCAATCGCTTTCCAGCCATTTGCACCCTGTCTTCCCTGTGTTGGTTTCGTGGGAGCGCTAATCTGGTACTGGGCCGTCAAGGCCGTCATTGCGCGAGGTGCAGTGACGGCAGCCAAGTTCTCACAAGCAACTTTTCCGATCTTTCTAAAGAACCAAAAGCATTGAAATCATGGTCGTAAGATGGTTCTGAGACTGAGGTTCGCTTCGGCACACCAGTGCGTCTTGCGCTGCTGGCGGCACGGCGGTTTGCCAGCTTCCTGTGGGCAGCAAGCTTCTTGGGTTGCTGCTTCGTGGCATGGGCACTGTGGTATCCTTCAGACACAGACATGCGAGGCATAGTGGAAGGAATGTGCGGCCCAGCCTTCCCTGTTTCTGTATTGGCAAGCATGTTGCTAGCACTGCCTTTTCTGCTATGGCTATGTCGGCGAATCCTGTGGCTCCTTTGTGGCATCGGGTCTCCCCCGGGAACCGGGCGACCACTCGTCCGAAATCCGCGAACAGATGGAGGCAGCTGGCGACCGCAGAAGGTGCCGATGTCCAGAATAAACTTCCACGAAGCCTGGCTCGTCATGCGCCACCGTTCCATCCTTTCAAGCTATGGTGGCCTGGCCGTGTTGTTATTTGTAATGAGCCATTCTACGTAGTCATATGCCTGCGGCAGTCACAAAACCATAGTGAACACAGAACTTCGAGAGGTGAACACTCACACATCTGCGCACACACACACACACACCATTTGCGACGACCAGGCCTATCTGATCATCCAGACTACCAGCCGCTTCTGAAGCTGCTCTTGCCGGACAGACCACAAGTCACCCTGGCAGAAAAGCCCAGGGAGACGGCCTACCTGGGGCGAAGCATTGACATGACATGCAGCCGTGCCGTTGTTCACGAATCAGCCCCTCGTCGAGCTCAACTCCCGCCATAAATCGGACGGGGCGTCCTTGCATGCGTCCGCTGGCATTGCCGAGGTGTGCTGACAACATGTCAGCCTGCACTTCTACTCCTCAGAACGGTGCTTTTCCCCGGGAGCATCGAATAGCGATGCTTCCTTGGAGTAGTTCGTCCTGCCAAGGTGAGAGCAAGCAAACACCACAGCAAGCAGAGACAAGGGCGCAGCAACATATTACATTATAATATAATACATTTACCATATATTAGTATCAATATAATTCTATTATGCAGTCAGCTCCCGAGGCAGACACAGATGCAGCAGTTGGTGCAGCGTCAGCTGATGCAGAACCAGTGGCTCGGCTTCGAGAGATTAAACACAACAATAGCAATACTGATTATCTCATAGTTAGCAATGAAAAAAAACGTCAATGAAGATAATCCGAACAAGAATGGAACGATCGGAGGGATCTCTGTTCAAAGAGCTATACCTTTGGCATTGGCAGTCTTCGAGGTCTCCGCTCCCAGTCCCTGCCGGGACAAGAAGCACGCCCAGCGCCCAGAATCCGAGCAGAGCTTAGTGGGGCTTGTAGGGTTTATGGGTCTTTTGGCGGGGTTCCTTCCGGCATGTGTTTGACATGCAGGAATCCGTGTGACGCTTTTCCTCGGCTCAAAGATCGCCCTTTGTACATAGTCGTAGCGTAGGAGAGAAGCGACGCGGCTCGAAGATGATGTCCAAGAAGATGTCCTTGACTCCCCTCCCTGCTGAAAAGTTCCCCGAGTTCAATGGATATGCGGTGTTTATGCACCTAGGCTGAACATCAGAAGGTGTGATTGTAGACGGCCCAGTTTGAGGCAAGAAGCCCGCAATTGACACGACACTGTCTCTTGCTCGCAGGAATGAGCATTTGGCAAGGCTGCCGGATTCAGCTCTGACAGAAGCACCTTTGAGGCCAGGGGCTCTGTCACACATAGGCCATCTGAGCTGTTAGGTGTCGTGGCCAGGATCCCGAGCAGTGAGGGAAGGATGTCATAGGACGCAGTACTGCTTTCCACATGCCCATAAATCTACAATATATAATACATTATTTACTATATATAAGATGATATACATTAGATATTTTTACATTCTACCCATGCTCTTTCATCGTCTCTGCACCTGCTGCCAGCTTACGCTGCAAATGGGATGGGTTCACCGACTCCCAGAAGAAGGCCTACGAGGACCTGCTGTAAGGCTTGCTTCCCGGTCAAGGCTCAAGACTCCTGAATTCACGAATAGTCTCGAAGTATAACTAAGTATGCATGATTGAAGGTGTATCTGTTGCTGAATTGCGGGGTTTTGGGCTCTTAAGGACCGTAAAACCCTAAATTCCTAAATAAGGTCTTCCTAGGCTTGTCCGAGTGTGAGTGCTGAAATAAGGTCTTCCCCCGACATTTCGCATCCCCGTGGCCTTTGCAGGACCGGGTTCCCACAGGTCCAGTGGTTCGGGTACGCGCCGCCGCCCCGTCACGTCGTCTCTGGCAAGCGATTTCTGAGGGCAAACGCCAGAAAGTTTCAGACACTCGGAATGCAGCAGGTGTTGGTGGCACCGAGGGGCTTGAAGATCTGGCGCTGCACTCTTTAAAACCCCGAATAAAATCCTTATCAGGACTCTGAAGAAGCCCCAAGAAACCTCTAGAGGAGTCGCTGGAGCTAAGGAGATGACGGGCTGAGAGAGCAGGTACCATTTCAGGTCTCTTTCTCGCGAGATCGGATTCGCAGTGCATTTGGGCGGAGAAGAAGCAACAATCTCCAGAAGAGAAGGAGTCAATCATAAAAAGTCTTTTGAATTCGCCACGATTTTGGACGGCCCGGTCCCGGACTTTTCAAGGCAGAAATGAGGCAGGTTGAAGTTTGGCCTGTGTATTTCCCCCACGACACCGTCTGACTATAATACATATATATGTATATACACACATGATGCATAGATAGCACATGCTCACATACATGTATGTGCATATACACACATACACACACACACACATATATATATATATATAGTACATATATATAGATAGATATACGCACAATGGATCTGAATATACGTAGGTATACGTAGTATGATGTAATATCCATAGTCTAGGCTAGAAAAAGTACTGTAAACCCTCAAAAGCTGGAAACCGGATTGAGAACACTTACATTACTGCTGGGATTCCCTATACATCACTTGGAAGGATTGAAGCTATTGAGTTTTAACTTTTTCGGCTTCTACTGTAGCATAGCATCGTATAGGATAAGAAAAGACAACATAATTGAATAAAGCAAAGTATAGCACACAATGATGCAACATGGTACTGTATGGTGTAACATATTTATCCTATCTCTTGTAACTCTTACGATTCTGCAAGCCTTGCTTCTCGAAAGGATGGGGCCAGCTCCGATTTCCAGGTGCGACGATCCGTCGCTAGGGTAGGTTGACCTCAGGTTAGTCGGGGTCGCGATTACAGCAAATACACAGAAAAAAACATGCACACACGGCTTCCGGACTGTCAGGCTCCGCATCGGCAATGATATTCGATCGACCCTGGCATCCACTTAAGCATCTGCCTCCTAACTCAAGCACTCTGGGTCTTTAACATGCTGAGGCGTTGTACACGAGCGGCAACTGCCAGAAACAGTCTGGACAGCCAGTGGAACACCCCAAGAGCCAGCTGCCAAACCCGAGCTTGGCACAGAATGCTTAGAGCCTCGATGTCAGGTTGTTATGCATCAGGTTGGGCCACTGTGGTCATAGGCAGGAGCAAGAAGCTTGTTTGCCAACGTCCCGGCGAAGAAAGGCTCACGGAAGGCGGTTTTGATGACGGTGCACTTTTGAGAGCCTGCAAGTGCAGATTCTGCTTGTATTGCTGCTGATTCCCTCATATCTTCGCCGGGGTAGGATTGTGCATATGTGCAGTGAGCAGCATGATGATGCATTCTGACGCTGTGTCGGGCGTTTGAATGCGCTCTGAGCGCATCTGTTGCAAGTCTTTGGCCTGCTGCCGAAGCACAGGACGAAGATTCCAACGCACTGCAGAACTTTCATGGTTGTGACTTGTTTGTTTGAGAGAGTCGTTTGGCGACGCGACGCGTGCAAGTTAAGTCCAGTTCACGGAGTCACATCACGAACCAGCAGCTGCTGTGGTTGTTTTGCAGTGCTTGACTGATTATGCCTTCAATGTCGATTGGTGGGGTCAGAAATCCTGACAAGGATTGAATCCAACACTTGACTGCTGCTTCGAACTCAAGCAGTCTTGCCTCACCCTTCAGTTTCTTTGAACGCGTTTCGACGCTAATCCAACTTTGCGGTTTGTGATTCAAAACAAGATAGCCCGCGCCGACATGTCATGAAGGATGCCGGAGTGCGCAAAGCGGATGCAGGGATGTCGGGTCAGAGCAAGAGCAAGTACGCTTGCGGCTTTATCCTGAACTCCTTAACCTCATTAAGAAACCCTGGCCCTGTAACCCCAATATGTTAGGGTTCATATTAAGAACCCTAGTAAAGGCCCAGGGTTTCTTAATCAGGTTCCTTCATTCAGTCCGCCGGCGCGTTTCAAGGCACAAAGCGCCGAGCCCTAAAACCTATGCCCAGGCCCGATCCGTCTGGAAAGGCTGGAATGGGGCTCGTTTCACGACCATTTTCCTACTTACTGTATTCTGATAACACATATTCTGTCTGATATGATATAATATACTAGATTATCATCTACTAGCACATGAAGTGTATTTAACTCTCTCTCTCTATATATATATATATAGAGAGAGAGAGTATAGTTGTTCCAATATGGTAGATATAAGACTATAATGTATTATGCAACAGAGCCCGTTATACTACAATGTTCTATATACAATATATTCTGCACTACAACATGCTATGATAAACTAATGCGCTTCGCTTCAGAAGTGTCCATTTCAAGTGTTCTCATACGCAGGATCCTCCCAATCGCCCCATAGGGTTTACGGTTTTTCAGCTGGCAGAGTCTGGGTTCAAGCCAAAAAAAAGCGCGGGGGCTTTGGGGTTTCATTGGGCTTCTAGGGCTTAGGTTAAAGGGCCTCTGTTGAGCGTGTTCGAGCAAGTGACTTGCCAGGGCACGCATCCCGCCAAGAGCGCAAGCCCGGCAAAAGGCGGGAAGGAGTGAAGCCCTGGATTTCACCTTTATCCTTACCCCCCAAACAACCCACCTTTTTAGGGTTCCTTATTATGTTTTCTTTATATGAGTCCTTAAAAAGGTGGGTGTTTAGGGGTCGCATTGCACAGCATGGGTCAGCTGCAGTGGAATGCTCACCTGCTCAGCTCCGCCACCTCCGGGTATCTCTGGAACCACTCCCATCAAGGCTGGGTTCGGCTTTGAAACCCTTCTTGCATGCCGATACAGTTTGATTTGGCAGGCCGGCACAAGTGTCTCCAACCCAACAAGCGGGGTGCTAAGTTTTGACACCAGCCTTGGGATTGCTTTCTCGCTGATAGATGAGGTGACAAGTCTGCCGTGCTGAAGGCTGGTGCAATTATCGAGTTCAGCGTCCTGCAGTTTTTTATACTGGTAGTACCGTGTGTTCTAGTATGTATAGCATACTACATTATATTGCTCTGGATTCTCTTACCACATTAAATAGATATATTGCATCATGTTATGCTTTTTGTTCTGTTCTGGTATTATTTAAACCCTAAACCCCTAAACCCCGAAACCCTAATTTCTTTTTGCGCTCGCAGGCCGCCTTGAACCAGGGAAGGTCAGAGCCTAGGCCCGGTCCGGGGCGAGTTGTCTGCAAGCGGTGTGCCCTTAACACCCCTACCTGGACCCTGAAAGTATGTAGAATAACAGCCTTTTATGGGTTTTGGGCCATTATTTCACCTACTTTGGGGGGTTTAGGTAAAAACACCCTATAAATCCGAGTGTGAGCGCCGAAACCCCCCCTAAACCGACCAGGACGGACGAAGCCGGCGCCAAAGCTGGACAGTTCCTGCTTAACTTGGTCAACAACAAGGAGGCCGATGGGTGCTTGGTATGGGTCAATTTCCCAAAAATCCTAAATGCACAACCCTCGAAACTCGAAAAGTGTTCCTGTAGGAAAGACCCGGCGCAATTCTACTTCAACAGCTGAAGGGCGGCGCTTCCAGAGGCGCCACGGCATGTTGACACTTGCGGAAAAGCCGCACAAACTGTAAATAGAAGATAGCAATTTAATAGTGTGTAGATATATATATATATACATACATATGTATATATATATATATAAATCTGCTGCGCTCTACTTAACGTTCAAAGAAGAGAAGATAAGATAAGGTATTCATTAGCCCCACCGCGAAGGCAAAGCACCCGCGGACCTGTCTGCGTTCCGCACGGACAACGGCGCCGGAATGGCGCTGCTGCAACAGGTTCGGTCCAGTTGCTAGCGCCACAAAGTGTCAGCAGAGCAAATCGTGCAAGATCAGGTGAAAGCTGGAACACAGAGCCAGGATCCAAGATGTACGTAGCTGTTGTGTGCCGGCCTCAAAAGCTGCTGCAGCATTTCTTGCATACGTTGAAGGCACCGAGCAGCCTAAATCGGAACAATGGAGCAGCGGGAACAACAAAGGAGACCCTCTTTCGGAGCTTGTGAAAACACGCTGCAAAAGCCCAGCTAGCGGCAGGACGTGGCCAGGGCGGATGGTGGGGTGGCTCTCCAGCTGCACTGGGCGTAAAAAAAAACAACGCAGCACTACATTGCGGCATGGCAATTTAAGGCGATTCCTACTACGGCACTTACGATGAAACCGAGTGGGCGGACCATCGCAAGGGAAGTGGCAAGTACAACAAGTACAAGGCAGGTCTGCAGAAGAGGCAGTGCAAGTCTGGGTCAAGCATCAATGCGGAGCCGCATCAGGGTAAGACATCGGGAAAGTACGACTGGGCAACTTGGCTTCTTTTCAAGGCAAATCGTAAAGTCGAAATGTGGCTCTGACGCTGCATAAGGCCGGCTGGAACGGCACAGCACCCCAGATGCAAATGGTGATGCGTAGAATCATGAGAACCAGACTGGAGCTCTGCAGGAGTCTTGGTGGACCTCCAACTCCGGCGAGGCCTTCCTGGTTTTCTTAGATGCAGCAGATCGACATAAAGGACGTGCAGTGTTGCGAGGAGTGGCTGGAGGAGTCTCAAAACTACTGGTGACCGCCTCAGCTTCTGCGGCACGCTCCAAAACGCCTTAATTACGGAATATACCTTAAATTATAATAAGATCCCTGGTATGATTTAAGGTATGTTCCTTAATCAAGAGGTTTTGGAGTCTCTAGGTTTATCACGCACTTCGCACTAGGACTGAGCGACAGCGCAGCGCTCCGCAATGGGGAAGGCAGCAACGAGTGCCGGCTGTCGATGGCAAGCGGTTGGCCACCTCTCCACCTGCTCCACAGGACGAAGAAGGGCGGAAAAGGAAAGAGTGGCGAGCTTACTTGTCGTTAGTTAGCGCCCCGTCTAAATTGAATCAGAAACTGCAAGTTCTTCACGGTTTCTGACAACAGGCGCAGTCCGCGAGTACGAGGCATCGGAGTGAGATTCCGTGCGGTAGCCTGCCCAGCCAGGGGGCCTCTTGAAAGGTTGGATGTGTGAATGAATGTGATATGGGTTGTGTGTGTAGAGCATCCTTGAGAAGACTTGTACCTTGAACCCTTGTCCGAATTGACCATGATGAAGAGTGTGGGGGGGACTCTGAGGCTGCAGTTGACCTGCTAGTTGAGGTGGTCAGGGTAATTCTCCGTGAGTCACACTGCAAACTCCAAACCCCGAAAGCCCTAAACCATCCTAAACCCCAAGCCGTGCATCATCCTTCCGAGTAGCGCGTGGCAAAACCAAGGATCATGTCGACACCACTCTCCTAAACCCTAAACCCCAAACCCTTTCCTCGCCTTGTGAGAGGGTAAACCCCTGCAGGAGGAGGAAGAGGAGGAAGAGACATCTGAAGAGTCGGGTGCCCCAGTCCTTGGCTGTTTAGTCTCAGCCATGGCTCGAGCCCGCTCCCGGGGCCGAGGCCCAGGCCTTGGTTTGGTTATGAGATGTCAAAGAAAGGGCAAAAAGACTAGGGTTTAGGGGAGGGTTGACTTACTGTCTTGCGAAGTTTCCCGGCTTGTTGCGAGAGTCCTGGATGCAAAAGGGTTTATAGAGTTTAGGGGTTTAGGGTTTAGGGTAGTACGAAGAGAAACCAAGAAATGCGCCAGCATAGTCTTGCAACCCGAGGCCCCGACCTATAGTATCCATGGTAGTTCCTGTTTCTAGCTTGCATTTGGGTACTTTAAGGTTTAACCCGAGCCGGAATTGTAATGGTGACTATAGTAGACTATGTACCCAGAATCATTCCGGGGGTACTGTTAATTGAGAGTCCGAACACACCATGCGCCAACCGAAATGCGCACGGAACTCAGGTGGGAGATTTCCCCCAAACTCCGAAACCCTCGAAAGAGAAACGGGTTTTCCAATGACCTCTTCCGGGCGTTTAGCGATGTGAAGCCCAAAATGAGCACGATTTCCGACCGGAAACGCCCCAAATCAATATCTTCGGGGTTGTGGAAAGTGTGAAACAACCGCTGCGGCGCAGGGACACACCTCACTCCATCGCTAGCCGCTATTATATCCAAATACGTTCACATTGAATGGAAGAACTTCATGGGGTAGCCGCTTTGTGTGGCAGACACGGATGATGACAAAGATACGGGGTCATTACAATGACAATGATCACATCTGGAAGACCCCTCAGAACCAGCAGCGCATGAGGCAACATACATCATCAGAGCGGCCGCCACCGCCACCACCATCGTCGCATATCATCTTCATCGTAACGGTAGCACAAAATGTGCGCACTTGGGCCCTAAACCCTTGTGGGAGGGGGTCATGATGATCTTCGTGGTGGTGCTTCACAAGGGTCGCGTGGATCAGATCGTGTGGAGCAACCCTAGTCGCCCTAGTCGAATGCCGGCGAAGATGTGTGGCAGGGCGGTATGCCAGGGTCGTCTTGAAGGGGTCATGGAAATGCTTGAAGGAAATGCCACAACCAGTTGAGTGCCCGGGTTTTTATACGACCACTGCGTCGAAACAAGCCTGCCCTAACGGGCTGGGGGTCGTAGCTTCCCTGCGACACCAAAAATGCCATTGCCAAGGAGCACCGGCTCGGAGGACGCTGCCGAGGCCGGGATCTGCGGTGAGAATGAGCGCAGCCCTGTGGGTTGTCAGATTCTGGAGCTTCTTGGAAGTAGGGGTACCTTGTTTTGAGGTCTTCCTTACAGGAACCGTGTGCTACTTGCTGCGGGGACTAGAGCTATTTTCCGAAATGCCCGATTGCGAGGCTGCCAACACGCGACAACCTCAGCATAGATTCGGTGAGAACGGAAGGGAAGGTGACGTCGGTCTCTCTTGCGCATTATCGCTTGGCTTTGAGGCGATGGCGCCAGAAAGGCAAGGCCGATGGAAAAGGCAAGGGCAGCGGAAAAGGCTCACCGGGCACACTGCGCAACAGAAGAACATGAGCTTGTATGATTGTTAAAGGATGCTACTGTATGTGCAACGTATATTACTGTATTTTTGGTATACTGTCATTATAGTTTTATAAGTTACACTGTCTGAACTAGCCATAGGCCCCATTGTGGTTCCCTTTTGGGATTACCTTTTAGGATCCTAAATATGAACCAGAAAAAGGAACTATCATGGAGCCTATGGGTAACTTCGACAGATTCCGAAGCCCTTGCAGGCAAGTCGAAGACCTCAACTGCCGAGCCCAAGGCGAAGGCGAAGTGGAAGCCGGCAGTCGCCTTATTGGGTTCGGTTTTAGGGTTTAGGGTGTATCGAGTGCCTGGAAGAGAGAGAGAGAGAGAGAGAGAGAGGGTTTAGCTTTTCCTCTCAACTCAGTGTTGTAGTAGGGCAAGTATTGCTGCTTTATGTTCTGGCGTTTATAATTTCTTATGTCTTATGTGTTCAGTTGCTCATTTGATGTGTATGTATGTATGTATGTATGTATGTATGTATGTATGTATGTATATGTATATATATATGTATGCATATATATATACATGCATGGATACACAGGCTCCTTCATTTACGGCTGGTCGTTGTTTTCATTAATCTTGGCATGGGCACATTTGTTGTATGTGCATAGGTATCTGCTTCTTTCGGGCCTTATTATTTGATTGCTTATTGTTTTTTATTCAACAGAACTTCTATGATTGTGCTTGTCATCAGGCTTATCATCATCATCATCATCATAAATACCCGTATCGATAGTCTCAATCACTACTCTCAACAGCGGGTTTAAGGGCTGGGCACAGATAGCCGGCTTACCCGAGGCTGCAAAGAGCTCCAAGTGAGTTCACTTCTTGATGAACTTTCGCCGAACCCGGTGAATCTGATGCCGGAAAGGATTGAATCAAGCAAACTAGCTTGGAGCTTGTGGTAATGTGGCAAGCTTCAATTTCCGTCATCAGCAGTGTTAGTGGGATCGATCGGGCCCATGCGGGGAAGTTGTTGCACTTTCCCATGCCTGACCATGCAGAAGGGTTGGGCCCTAGTGCTTGGGCAGCAGTTCTACACTTCTCAGCTCATGTGCAGATGGCCCAACCACGGATTGCTCTGTAGTCTGTGCTCTCTGCGCTTCGCGGGGAGGAAAGGTACAACACCTGTCACTATGAATTCAACCTAATACGTGCTACCTGTCTGTCTGGAGCCAGCCCCTTCAATGCTAGGATTGACTAACTCACAGATTATGTCGCACTGCCCTTGTCATTTTTAGCCATCAAACAAAGAAGGGCAAGACTGGCCGGCCAGAGACATGTGGCGCTCATGCCTGTGCCGACAACTGTCGGCATGCTGTTCTGCTCTCAGTGCCCACGAGACGTGGTGCCTTGTGGGGCAATGAGCTGAGGTGTTTGTAATCTTGTTTCTTACAAGGCATCGAGCTTAACGGGACGGCAGGATGGATGAAAGCAGAGGCCGTTTGTGGCTTGTTGTTCAGCTCAGTGCCGTCATCGCGAGCGAGCGGACACGCACAGTCAATATCTCTGACGCCGCAACAGCTTTCCTACGTGATGCGGAACGCACATCCTGTCAATGGAGCCGGGAGTCCAGAAAGTGCATCGTGATGAGGTCAGCAGTCAGACCTCTGAGGTTGCATGACATATTTCAAAGAACTGACCTGGACTGCGGCTATCCAAGTGTCCATACAACGAGACTTTCCATGTGTCAGCAGATGCCGCGCACTCCATAGTTTGAAATTGAAAAAAGTGTCGGCTCGCTTCGAGCCGGTTAAGCTTCCTTTCATCGCATGCTCAGGCTCCGCAAATGCCTCTTCATGTCCCGGTTCAAACAAGTTGACTTTAGAGCACAACATACGACATGTCGCGCAGCCTAGCCTCCTAGCGTGCTGGTTAAGCACACCGCGGAGGATTTCGTCCAGCAGGAGTGTACTGAGCCACTAGAGGGCCCCACATGTGGTTTCAAGCCTTCGTGCCCGTCAGGGGAAGTGGCGTAGCATCTCGGATGGGATGCAGTCTCTGGTCGCTGGCATCCATGAATTCTTCGAGCGAGCCAACCAATTGGCGACCTGGCTTGCAAGAGCGGGACAGGATCGGCAGGGCACTGACAGTGAGATTCAGAATCCTGTTGCTGTTATTTCAAGAGGCCCACGTGATTCTGCAAGCCAAGGCCATGGCCTCATGTGGGTCTTGCTATGGACCAGGCCGCGAAAGGCCGCGTGAAAGCTTTGAAACCTTCACCTGCCCATGAATAATTTCGGGGGCTCCGTGTCTTGCAACGAGGCAGCCCTTGGATGCATCATTATTGAGCCTCTTCGATGTGAGCCCCATCGACCATGAAGACATGGAGGCGCATCAGATCAAGTGGTAGCCGCAGTTCTCTACACGTCGGTCAGAGCCTTCTGCCAAAGTTTCGAGGCAGTTCGGGGAACACAGAAAGGTGCTCGACTTCTGCACGAAGCACGGGTGGAGGATGGGGAACGCCGACTAGACCTTCCATGTTCGGTCATTGTGAGCCCATCAAAGTCCCTCATGTATCACAAATGCTGCATGTTACATCAGATGACTGCAGTGGTTGCTGTGGTTTTAAACGCTTTGCCGGTTTGTTCCTTCGAGATTCTGCTTGAGCTCAGGATGGCCTGACTCTACGCAGAGAGTTGGGTACGCGGCTGTTGCATCGTTCCCGACCGTAATTCTCTCACTTGTATCTCATGGGCCTCAATCAATCAACCAAGTAAGCAACCAACCAACCAACCAACCAACCAACCAAGCAACCAGCCAACCAAGCAATCAAGCAAGCAAGCAAGCAGGCACGTGAGAGGCCTCATGTATGTGTATGTACGTGTATGTGTGATATATATATATACACACACAATTACACACATACACACATACACACATACATACATACATACATACATACATATACATGCTTAAAGTTAATGAATACGAATTTAACGACTAAGCATTCAAGCATGCATTCACAGATACACACATGCGCGCACATGCGCGCACATGCACGCACATGTATATATGTATATACACATAATAATGACATAATACATATACATATACATATACATATATATATATATAGAGTGTGTGTCGCTGTGAGGGCCCGCTTTTCTCGAATAAACATGAGTTTTTTTACTGATTTTTATGTTTTTTTGTTC